TCTTTTAACATTAAACAACGTACCTTTGCAACAGTCGAAGATGTCCGTTTTTTCCTTGGATACTTGTTTGGAATTTTTGTCCCACTTGAGGCTCCAATTTGACGTTTTTTTCCTTTCTTGTTGATGACATTACCTATCGACGCTTTAGATATCGCAAAACCATGACTCTCACATCGTTTTTGGATAACGGAGTATGCATATTTCTCTTCGGAAAGAGCGTAAATCTAGCCTTCGAACCACTGCTCTGTTAAATTCGCCATTTTGAATAAAAACAACTTTCAAGCCACAGACGATAATTTTGACTTTTAAAAACATAGTACAATTGCAATTACTTCTTTTGCAGCAAACGATTTTTTATTACCGCTTACCAAAATCGTCTAAAAATGTGCGAACAGCCTCTGTATAACATGTACGTAAAAATGTTGCCTTTTCATTTTAATTAATTAAAACCTCTTTTTCTTTAAAAATAGTTTTTTTCAACATACAGTAATTGATTAAAGTGAATACAGTAATTGATTAGACCCTTTCCTTGGAAAAAATCCAACTATCCGAATTTTTGATTATCCGAATGGGATCCGGTCTCAATCGATTCGGATAATTGGAGGTCTACTGTGTAAGACTTGTTGGTAGGATTCTACTGCTAGAAAGCAAGGGTATAAAAAGATATAAATTAGAGGTAAAAGTCTGATATTCATATAGCTGGTATATCTTTATTATTTCTCAGCAGGAAGACTAATAAAATAATTTTAATTCTAAGCTTAACTGTAATTCTAAATTCTAAGAATAATTGTAAGGATAATTCTGAGGATAATTGCAATTTTATCGCGAAAAATGTTGAACTGGAGCTGCTGATAAAACTTATTTTACGTTAACCAAATTTGCTTTAATAATTTAAATTATTTTACACAATGTAGACATCTTTCATAGAAATTTAACATTTCTCAAGCAAAACGTTTCATTGTTTATTATATTAATCCTTTTCATAACCATTTTGCAAAAAGGATTTAGTTATTTATTTTAAACAAAGCATATGGACGGCTATTTGCAAAGGCTGCATTCTAGTTTGAACCAAAACAACCCGCCAAAGAACAGATGCTTAAGATATAGCAGCAAGAATCAGCATAGTTTGCGTAAATTTCCGAGGTTATAAATTCCGAAGGTTAGTTAGAACTTACTACTTCAGCTGTAGGAACGAAATTGACTAAGAAGAAGAATGTGCTCACGTGATAAAAACACATACAGTTCGACCTCATCCCAAAAAGAGGAAATTAAGCTGTTGGCGCCATCTATTGACAAAAAGTTAACGCAGCTATGAAATAATTTCTTTAAACTCTAAAGTAAAGACGGATTAGAATTGGGATCACGAACAGTGAAAGATTTTTGTGAATGTGGACTTGTCTAGGATACCTAATAGGGCAACGGAAGATGTTTTAGAATAGATTTAGTTTCAGATAAATGAAAAGACGACTTTTTTACCAGTAGTGTTAGGAATCGGAGAATTTACTTGTTTCTTTTTTCCTAACATAATATTAATTACACGCTCCTTAGAAATTTTAAGCCTGTCAAATTGTATCAGTGTGTATCAAGCCATAATGGCAAGAAATATTGCATTCAAAGAATTCATATCCAAAATGAAGATCTTTAAGTACGTAATTTTATTGGTCGCATAAAAAATAACACGGGAGTTAAATTTCTATAAAATACATACAATTTTATAACTAATCGATAGAAAGAAACGGATGACTACTGAATTCTTATGATTGCACAAAACGAGAGTTATTATTATTAATATTATTGTTATACTGACGAAAGTTTTTTATCTGTGTGCTTCGAATACACAGGTGACGGCGGACGGGGACGCCTGATGTTTAATAGAGGTAAAAAGGCATATGTCCGGCGCCCTGCCCTATCTAGTGGCAGTAACTCCCAGGAGCCTCATGAGGTCACCTCGGGAGTTTATTGAAGAATTTTACGTAATTGTACATGCGACATGCGATGGAGGACGTGGGCACCACCCCTTTACCGTATGGTTAATTGGTGTAGCGCCACGTCCACCAGTATTTATATGCATGAAAAACAGTTACATATTAATGCATAATACAGTCATATGTAGAGACATGTTTAAATATAAAATACAAATACAGATATCATATATACATTACATGAAAACCAATGACTGAGTTTGTCTACATTAAACAGACATTATATATATATATCAAGGACTGAAACTCTGGTTGCGTTAAAACTTCACTTACTGCGCCTCACAGGTGCGTGTTAGAATATGCTATGGAACATAGTTATATAAATACAGGGGTAAAGCATGGAAGACAGTAACACAAAATTGCATAGGATAACCATATGTGGGAGCATGCTACAACACAGAACACAGTCCCTGATATCATGGGTACAGTAAGCATATGTTACATCAAATCGATACAATAAACCATTGGACAGTTATATGAAGGAACTATGCTAAAATATAAAAAAACATACACAAATATCATAAATATAAAAAACATATAATGAGTACAATCAATAGTTTAGACACTATATTTACATTAAACACACGTTACATATAAATCAATGACTTGAACACTGGTTACATTATAGCTTCGCTTACTATGTTGGAGTTACATCAATACATTTGAACTGTAGTATAGCACATTTTTGTCTTAGACACACATACGCACAGTTTGCAATTTGCAGATTACATTTGGACAAACTTACAGATACTATTGCGTTTTAATATTACATGTGCCTATGTGGTTTGCATATAGGGTGTAAAATCAGACGCAGAGTTTAGGCGTCCACTCATTACAAATTTCACAGTACTTGTAACGTTATGCAGTTCATATTGCATTGAGCATATGCAAGTGTGCTTAGGCTGCACGGACTGCTTTGGCATAAGTCTGTGTTTAGGTCTGCCAGCTTATCCATCATACGTCCAATTTTTTCGTAATTGTACATGGCCATACAGAGGCGCCGTTTAGAGGAAAGACGAGATCTGAAAGACCTCAGACCGAACTACCAGTGTTCAGCGACTTAACCGCTCGGCCGGTGGTGGGCTCGACTCGAGAGGGAATATGTATTACCTGACACTGGTAGCAATATTATAAGGTACAAGAGAAAGGCACCCTAAAAAAGCAATCCCAGATTTCAATCTCTTTCTCTTTTACGCTATCCTCTCACAAGATCTCTCTTATCGATAGAATTTAAGTGCTTCTATTAGAATCCGATTAAGGCTGTAAAGCCCTAAACACAGAGATCTTTTAAAGAGTCTCCAACCACTATCTTTCCTGGTTTTTATTCGGAAAAAGCAGAATTTTATTTAAAAAAAAAATTGAAACAAAATTTATTAACAACTAAAACAAATTTCATTTTTTTGTAACCCTATTACTCATAGTTTTTTTTTAATTGTTTTAATGATATTTTTTACGTTATCATGAGAATTTTGTAAATTGAAGTACGTATTTAGGATTAATATTTAAGAAAATGTAGCCTAGGCTTCTTTAACAACACCTGGCATACCTTGTAAAAGACGTTTGAGAAGATATACCGGGATCAAATTTACCAGATTAAATTTAAAATTATAATTTAGCATTAAGCAGTTTTATTCAATAATTGTGGACATTCTTCACGAAACTGAAAGATTTGAAATATTTTATCGTCTGGAAACGAACATCTGCGTCACGGGGAAAGTATTCTTCCATTCTGTGTAATCCACTTCCGGGAAAATTCTCATCGGTGACCTCTGAATCATTCTTAAGAATGTTTTTCCGGTTCGTCATTACTTCTCATCGATGATTACAAATAAGTGCAATCGGTATCTGTAGCAAACAAGATGGCATATCGATATCTGTAGCAAACACAGATGGATGCTAACTTTTCATGTTATTTTCTATGCATACTGTCACGTTTTTTACTTGAAAATTTTACATCAAGGGTTTTTAACCTGTTTTGTCCTAGGCACACCTTTCGCTATTGCTAGAAGATCATTCCCACACCCCAAACTTGAAAAACATATGTATGTATTAATCTAGATTTAGATATTTTTCCAACGTGTTTTATAATTTAAACTGTAGAGTCATTAGGCTATTTTCTAGCATGAGACATGAAAAATGTGCAATGCCTTCGCCGGGACTTGAACCTGGACCTCTCAAATACGCGCCGAGTGTGCTACCGTTACAACACGAAGACACGCTGGAAAGAGGGAGAAAATACCTTATAAAACAATAATAAAAAGTTTAGAAAATGTTGATAAATGCCCAAAATTGAGTAAAAGTAGTTTTTTTTAATATTCATGAGGTAAAACTAAATACTTAACAGATAAATAAAAGGCTGACCACTGCATTCCCTCCCTGAAATTATATATTTCGCTCCAACGCGGAAATTCCACTTTGAATGAGAAGGAACCTAAAATAATTATTTATAGAAAAATGCGCGGACCAGGTTTAGGATCTACTGAAAGTTATTCTTTTTTTAGTTGGTATCTATACAGCATTTAATAAATACTCACTTATCTTTGAAATAAATTCATCGACGAAAACATTTTAAATTATTTGAACTACCACACCACATAATACAACTTCTTTACCAACTCATCAATTTTGTTGAGTTATAAGGATTCTTTAATGCATTGCATAAATACGACTCTTATTTTAAAACTTAAAACTGCATGCCACTTTCCAAGAAAAGGGAGGGGTATGGTCTAATTTATAAATGCAAATTTACATATTTTCGCGCATTAGTTTAAGGTAAAAACAATTTGAAGACCTTTTTTTTAAAAAAATTCAGTTATAACTTATTATTTCCTCATAGCTCTTCAAATAGTTTTACAATAAATCTACACAAATGATAAACTCTTTATAGACTCTGAAAGGTATCACTCATGAGATAGGTGTTCGCGTTTGAACAGCTGTCCGCGGCGCCTGTCGCGCGAAAAGTAAATACCGACAGCTGATTCATTTTAAGAAAAGGCGACTAAAAAAAAATGACCAAACCTGTTTTTTAGCAGCAAGAGATGTCTTGGTATATAAAGTGTTAGCAGGGGGCGTGGTAACTGTTGGCAAATCACCAATGGGTGTCACTGTAGGTTTCCATACTCTGACTCCACCCCTGGAAAAGAAATATTAGTAGTACAATAAGGATACTGCAATAAAACTTATCAGTACAAAAATCAAATGTCAAGAGATAATAAAATATTTTATATTTACATTTATGTTTCAATATAGCACTGCTACTCTATGGAAAGTTTTCAAACAGCACGACTGATTTAAAGTTCAACAAACATTGTTATTGTTCTGTACAATCCTGACTTTTATTGTGATGTCCTAATCACATTAAAAGGAATTGTCTCCTTTTTTAACGCGTGACTTCGTAGTGTAGCTGGCAGCACGTCCGGCTAACAACAGGAAAGTTCGGAGCTCGGATCCTGACATCGTTGATTGCTCATGTTTACCACTCCAAATATTTGTCCACCAGCGGCCGAGCGGTAAAGTCGCTGAACACTGGTAGTTCGGTCCGAGGTTCGAATCCCGCGAACGTGCTGGCTGCATGGGCGCTTTCGTGGTTTTCCCGATGTGTAACCTGTATACGAGCCAGTTTCCCTTAGAAAGTCCTCCACGAAGGCATCCCTCCCCTTAGGCAGGTAGCCCTCGTGTGTTTTGCCGTAACTCAACACCTACTCCAAATAAATGTCACTTACGTATTATCCCAACCACTCTGGCGCAGTTTGGTGAGTTTTACGGAAGAAAAAGAACAATTTCTTTCATTGTAAAAACTTATATACAATGGCTAGCAAAAGTGTTGCTATACGAGTTTCAGTGAAATAATGCTTTATGCATTAATAAAAATTAATATTTGAGAATGAGAATAGTTTAATAATATCTATAAATTTCTCTTAGTAAAAATACATTAGTTATTTTATGAACATAGTAAAACATTTTTTGGAAAAATCAATAGTCAAAAAGTAGCAGAAAAGTTACCCCACAAAAGTCTTCGTTCACTTTAAAGAAATCTGCACATATTAATAAATAATGTAGTATTTCTATTAGTTAGGATATTGCAGGATATTCGGCAGCACTTGTGACAGCTTTCAAACGTCTGAGCGTAGAGGTCATTAGATTTTTTTTTATGGTGTGTGTGTGTGATATCTACATTAATGTCCCCCCCCCAATCTTCCAGCATTTCTGTTTTTAGTTCGGCTCACGTTTTTATGTTGTGTCTTCGTACTACTTGTAATTAATTCTCTCCAGATGCGTTCTATCGGTTTTTAATGTAGTGATTGAGATGGTGATTTTAGAACTTGTGAAGGATAATTATAGACATATCAAAGGTGAACGTTGAGGGCCATGTGCTAAGAATTCTTATCCTGATAAAAAAAGATGTTTTCAATATCTAAATTTTAAGAGGATAATTTTAAATTATTTAAAAAAATATTTAAATAAAAAGCATGGATCATTATGTCATCAATAAATATTTTAATTACCTAATCCTGATGTTGACATGCACCCACGCAAAGGACACCTCCACCGCCATGCTTTACTGTACCAACCAAGGCTTTAGGATTAAATTCCTCATTTGTTTCCCTTCTCTATAATATTATATGCCCATCGGAACCAAAAATGCTAAATTTGCTTTCATCTACAAATAAGACATAGTTTCAATACACTTCGCGCTTATTTACCATGATTTTGCGTTAGAAAGAATAAGATGTAGAGTCATTAGGTTATTTCGAAGTTGGAAAGATGAAAAATAAGCAATGCCCTCGCCAAGACTCGAACCACGGAACTCTCGAATACGCGCCGAGCGTGGTGACCACTACACAACGAATGCACGCTAAGAAGGCAGGAGGAATACTTTATAAAGCTTTCTTTTTTTTCCATTTACAAAAGGTTTCTTTCGAGCAGAGCACCCATGTAATCCACCTGATCTGAGTACTCGTCCAATAGTTTTAAATAAAATTAAAGTGTGTAACAGACCTATTTAAGTGTAACTGAACTATTTTATTCACGCCATGAACTCATGAACTGTAACCGAACTATTTTATTTAAACGCCATCTCGTGGCGATATGAAAAAACGTCAGTCGACCTCCAGCCGCCATGATGATAGCTTACTATGTTATGTTATTCTCAATGTTTGATGTTCCATTTGGTATAAGTTTCATTTTTATGTATATTTCTTTTGTTTGTAACCGTTCTTGCGTGCTCTGTTAATAAATCCTTTTAAAGCTAACGGGCATTAGTGTTTATTGAGGAACGGCTACATCACATTGGCGCCCAACTAAATTTGAATCCAAAATGGCGCAACAAATGTTTAGAATTTCTGTTTGGCTTTAACAAGTTCTTACTCCCGAAATTTAACTTTTAGTTGCTGGAGATCGGCTCAGTTTCTTTTCAGGTGTGGACTGCTGGTCAAAAAATTCTAGGAAACCAATTCTGGAATTAAAATTGTCGTCATACCGTGCTGCTAGCACATCGAATCATCAACTGGACAATTTCAACGGAAAAGATAAGTTTCGTTTACATTATCGTTTAATCTGAGTTTAAAGTTCTTTTAAACTGATTATTTATTATAAGCTGCTTCTTAAAGCAAATGTAAATTCTTTACTGAAATCTCATTTATTGATACTACATAAGAGTATTAAACGAAAGCAAACGGCTCTGTTAACCAAACGTTATTTCTTGAATTGTAATTTGTTATTTTAAAATGTTAATGCGCATAGTAAATTAATTTGTGAATAATATTGTTTCACTGAATACATATTTTGATGTTAAAGTTTGAATATATTCATGGACGTTGTTCATTAGAATTTATTAGTTTCGATTCTGACATACAGCAGCAGATGTTTTCCCCCCGCGGAAATGTTTAGACTAGCGATGATTTATGATGTGTTTACGTCAAATGTTTTATTATTTTTATTTCCTTTGAGTGCTGTTGTTCCTTATTAAATGTTTTATTCTACATAAAATAAAATATTGTATTTGTTGATTTATCTTTCGACGAACATTTTGAGAAAATGATTATAGTATAATACTTTAAGAAAATACGATTGTTTCCTTTAATGAATGCATGTCTTGAAAATATTTCTTGAAGCGAAAGAAAATAATTATGAATAAAATCGAATGACTATTTAAATAAAGTAAAAGAGTTACTAAGTGTGTGTTGCTTAATCAGCTTAATATTTTGTTAAGATTAAGATTTCGAAGAATTCAGCTTAAATATAAAAGCTTATGGTAAGACATTTATGTATGTTTTGTATGTTTTGCTAAGTAGTAAACAATTTTTGAGCAATCTATTATATGTTATTTTCTTGATACAAGTTGAATTTATGAGGGCATTTTATGATATTTTTACGACTCCGAAATAATAAACTTTATGAGTATTATTGTTTACATTTATAAATACTGTTTAATAGTGGTATATAAATGTACGAGTAACATTGTTTACATTCATACATGCTGTTTAATAGAGGTATATACATTTTACTTAAAGGTATAATTATTAATTCTAAAATACTGTATTGTGAATAAATTCGAAATAACAACAAATTCAACTTCATCTTTTCCCTCCCCCCTGACCTCTCATATAATTATGGCTTACCTTGCCAAAGCACGAAAAGAGGATTTAAAAACTCTCGCTGCAGAACTGGGTTTCACTGTAAACGACACTATGCGAGTAATAGATCTTAAAGATCTTATTGTCAATTCTGACACTTATGATGAGGCTTTTACCAGGAATCTTCTGGAAACTTTAATCGAAACTAGACAACAAAAACAACGTGACAGCAACGATCTGGAGACACGTCAAAGAAAAGAACAAGAACTTTTATAGAATTGGAAACGTTTAAAATTAAACCTGGCAGCTGCTAGCTCAAACCCTAACTATGCCGCCTTTGCTTCAAATGCAGCTATTGAAACAAATATTCAACACCTAATCCCTAAATTTACAGGAACTTCTGACATTGCAACCTACCTGCAAATTTTTGAAAGACAATGTGAGAAAGTTAATATAAAACAAATAGATTACATCACTCATCTCCTACCTCTTCTGCCTATAGACATTTCGCAAATTATTTTAAGAGAACCAAAAGGATAAATTAGAAGATTATTCATACATCAAGAAGATTCTGCTCCAAAGATTCAAATTAAATGCTGAATCATTTCGAATTAGACTTACTACACACACGCAAAACACCCTGGGTCCTTTATGGAAAGATTTTACTTACGAATTAAACAATTATCTCGAAGAGTGGCTACATAGCCTCGATGTTACAGACTTTGAATCACTCAAAGACTTGGCCCTGACGGATCAGCTTAAAAGAAGAGTCAGTAATGATGTTAAGGAGCATTTTATTGATACTTGGGGAAAAATAAAGAGTTCATCTGAATTAGTACAGAAATTGGATGATTATGAAGCTGTACGTGTTAAAAATACGAACTATAAAACTCAACTTCCTGGCAGGCGGAACTATTCTTACAAACCGACTAATCCATCCAAACACAAAGTAGAAAATCGAACAAGTGACATACAGGGAACTTCATAAAACCTTTTCAAATCGTGGTCAGCAGCAAACAGGAGGAAAAGCCGACCTCCTTTAACATGCTATGGGTGCGGAAAAACTGGTTTTATATCAAGTCTAAATGTCCAGACTGTAACCCCCCAAAGACTTCAAATTCATCAAATTTTGGCACTATCCAAATATCCGATCCTGTTTATCTTCCACTCGGACTGCTGTATTTCGAATTAGTATTGGTGGTGTTTCCGGTACAGCTTTCGCCGACAGTGGTGCTAGTCACTCAATTGCAAGTGAATCCCTCTATCATATTCTGCAAAAAAACAAGATGCAGTATTTGAAAAGACAACACTACAGGTGTCTTTCGCTGATGGTTTGGTATCTGAAAAAGAGGTACTTTGCACCGAACAAATCATTCTTCTCGAAGGCAGAGAGTTCAAAACTCCGCTCCTTGTGTTGCCTGATGCCAAAAATAACTCGACTCTGTTAGGAACTGACTTTCTTCAAAAAGCTAAAATTGTTTTAAATCTTGCTGAAAATAAGTGGAACTTTTCTCATGAACCTCGAAGAAAATATAGCTTCGTGAAACCTCATCAATCC